CGGGAGCGGCCGCGGCAACAAGCAGGGTTAGGGTTGGGTAGTGATAGCTGATATCGGTTTTAGTTGGTTCGATTGAACCAACTAAAACACCGACGACCGAACCAGACCTAAAATCCTGGTTCCGTCGCCTGGTTTAACCCAGGCGCTCACCCGAAGCACCCAGCACCTGGGCTCGGGCAAGCGCCCAGGCGACGCCTCTTTGAAGCGCGCCGCTTGGAAGTGAAGTGAGGCGCTCGGGCCTCGCCTCGCATCGCCTCGCTCGAGCGCCTAAGCGAGCACCATTTTAAATCACTGGTGCTGAGATGGTTGGCGTTTTGCGTGCAGTTGTGGCTTGTAGAAAACAAGCCGTGGCACGTGAAAACGAAACCATTTTGGGGCAATTCGACCTGGCGCGACGAGCAATCGCACTATAGCGTTGCAACCTGTTCGAATATGCATTTTTACAAGCAAAAACACATAAAAACAAGGCAAAACAGGCTGTCATGTCTTTGTACAAGCATGCAAAAGCGACGAACGGTTTGTTGAACGAAGTTGTTGTGGGTGCGCGACGACCATTCGTGACAGCTTGCCCAAGCGCTCGCCCTAGCGAAGCAAGGTGCTAAAATATAAAAATATATAATATAATTAATAAATATAATTAATTAAATAAAAATATGCTATAAGCGTCACAATGTCACATTAACAAAAAGTCTCAAAATTCAAAACAATAAAATTTTACATTAAAGTCATTCATCATAATCAATATTATCGTCATTTTCACACAAACCATCTTCATTGAATTCGTCCTCTTCCACTTGTCCTTCCTCTTCATCAAAATATGTTACATTCTCTGTCTTCAACAATAGCAGGAGCCGAGCTTGATGCTTTTGCACTCATTTTTCTCTGTCATGTCTTGTATATGTTTGTAATTTTTCAGCACCTGAAGCTCTTGCCACATCTCCCCATGTCAATTTATCATCTTGAAATACAAGCTCGTCTTCGGTATCTTGCAAGTTGACACTCATTTCTCCTACCAACCACTTATTTGAATCATCAATATCTTGTAATGAGATTGGATCACTTCTATTTTGTAAATCACGATGAGCCTTCAAAGCTTTATTATACTTTATGTAAACAAGATCATGTAATCGTTGATGTTCCAACCGATTTCTTCTCTTTGAGTGAATTTGTCATGTCATATAATTTAAAAATATATTAATACATATATCTAAATAAATAAATTAGTAGAAACAAAAATATTTAGTGATCTTTACATTCTCAAAGATACTCCAGTTTCGCTCACAATCCAAAGCACTACAAGTCAAACTAAGTACTTTGATAGTAAATTGCTACAAGTTCAGGGTGGTGGAATTTCCAGATAAACTCCACAATTCAGTTGCAAAATTTATGTTATTATTAGCAATAACATAGTAACATACTATATATAAAATTAATTATATTAAATTATTAATACCTGGAGACGTAGTTGTCCTGGATCGAACTGCCATTGAAAATTCCAAAAAGACATTTGACATTTTTATATAAAGATAATTTACGAATAATCTTATCTTGCACCTCAAGGCTTGGAACTAATCTTGCAACGCACTAATATAATTCATCCAAAACTTCTGCATTAAACCCAATAGGTTTAATCTTATAAAAGAATTCAAGGTTCTGATAAGACCCTAAAGTCTTATCGTCGAAGAAAGGGGAGAAAAGGAAATGATTCTTATAAATATATCATTTCATTATCCACCAACCGAAGGACTCGAACAAGAGGGCTCATTACCTTTAATATATAAACTGCATGATTCTTAAAATGATGACATTAAGATAATATCAGTAGCCCTCTTGTCTTTTACTTCTTTTGCCCGTTTGTTTGTCACCCATTTCTCAGAGGTAAACATGTTTCTCATATTATGTTTTGACAATGCACGCTCTGCAATGTCAAGAATAAAGTAGCAAATCGGGTGACACCATATCTCACTAATTCTTTGTTGCCTGTGAATTCTCTCATCATATTCAAAACCCCAATATGATTATAAAAAAATCAAATAACAAAAATTTCTCTTTCTAAGGTTTTCTTAATGTTTGAGATTTTTCAAATATCCTCCAACATTAAATCAATACAATGTGTTGCACATGGAGTTTAATATAAGTGTTGTCTTTTTGTTTCAAGCAATTTACTTGAGACAAAGGATGACAAAAATGATAAGACTTAAGAGTTTATGATTTAACAAAAATGATAACATTTAATTAAAGATAAAATAATTCAAAAATTCAATAGATGAATATTACTAGCTAATGCATAGTTGCTTCCATTGTCGGTTATGATTTGAACGACATTTTGTTCTCCAATTTCTTCCACAAACTTGTCAAGTAAATCATATATCTTGTCTCCAGATTTTACAAAAGATAAAGCATCTATTGACTTCACAAACATAGTCCCTAAAGAACAGTTAACCATAAAATTAATTATACTCTTACGTCTCCTGTCAGTCCAAGCATCTGACATAATAGAGCAACCATGCATTGCCCATGAGTCATTTGTATAATTCAACTCTTTTTGCAACAATAGAACTCGCATCTCATAATAACTTAGAGGTTTTAATCCCACACCATATCTTCCAATAGCTTCAATCATTTTCTTAAAACTGTCTAAACGTGTTGTACTAAGGGGAAGACCAGCCTGATAGAAGAAGCGAGCAATGTGCTGAATTATTTTTCTTCTTATTTCTTTATCACAAGCATCACTTATATTTGTTTATCTAAATTTTGAGCCTCCTACTTGCCCTTATTGCTTCTGTGATCCTTGAAACATATATAGATCCATCGGTCCTTTTTTATCCTTCTTAGTACTCGTAACTTCTTTTTCTATTTTGTTATATATTTTTTTCTCACTTGGGTTAATACTCATAGAATAATCTTCTTCTTCATCCCTAAGATGTTCAAGATTGTCTTCTGGTAAATTCTCGTAAGATTCATTCTTTTGCATCTTCTTTTCATTCATATAACTCAACAACTCTTCTTTTACCTCAGGTGGACACTTTTTGCAAGCTACTGCATTCTTAAAATTTCCTACTAGATGTTTTGCACGAAAAATACCACCTCTAATAGTCTTATCGCAGAACATGCAAGTCACTACATTAGGATCTTTCAGATGCTTTAGATAATTATTCTTCCATGCAAGATCTTTTTTTGATGCCATTGGAGAATCTATTAAGTTGCTTTGTATACTTGTCATTTATCCTTAAACCTAATAATAATTTCAAATAAATAAAAATTAACAGTATTAAAATTAAAATAATATATTATTAATCTAATAAATAATACAGTTAACAGTATATTGTTAATATACTGTTAACAGTATACTATCGAAAGAGAAGAGTGTGAGTAAAGAAAGACCGAGGTTGCTGACTGAGAAAAGCGACAGCAGTAGCGGTAGTAGTAAGAGCAAGAGCGGCGACAGTGGCAGCGGAGAGCGATGATAGTGGTAGTGGCAACGGGAGCGGGAGCGGTGAGCGGCGACAGTGGCAGCGAGCAGTGGGAGCGGGAGCGGCGACAATGGTAGCGGCAGCAGCAACAGTAGCGAGCAGCCGCAGCGGGAGCGACGAGCAACGATAGTGGCAGCGGGAGCAGGAGCGAGAGCGGCAAGCAGCGACAATGGCAGCGGCAGCGAGAGAGACGAGCAGGGTTAGGGTTAGGGAAGTCACGAGAGGACAGATATTGGTGCTTTAGTTGGTTCGATTGAACCAACTAAAACACCGAAGACCGAACTAGACCTAAAACGTAGGTTCGGTCGCCTGGTTTAACCCGGGCGCTCGCCCGAAGCGCTCGACACTAGGCTCAGGCGAGCGCCCAGGCAACGCCTCTTTCAAGCACGTCGCTTGGAAATGAAGCGAGGCGCTCGAGCGCACATTGAAATCACTGCAATTTTGGATAAGCGCTTAACAAAATAAAGTGCCAAAATTTAAGTGCATATGCCAAGTTTTGGTTAAGACACAAGTTAAGACACAATGATGGTGATGCTAAGAAATGCACTATAAATAATGAAAAATAGGATTCTGCATAGCTCTAATATCAAATACTGAATATTTAGGGTACACTAAAATGGTCATACTCAAACATAGCTGGATAAGCTTTACTATACATAAAAATATCTTCCCTAGAGTGATCAAGCTATCAATGAGGGAGCCAGAGAGGTTCATATCCATGTATCTTATCCTTGCATGCAGAAAGGTTACTATTCTTTTACTCAAGCCCTTTATATGCCAGGTCATGAGAACCATCACAAAGCCACCTCAACATGGCACCAAGATTGAGTGGCACCTTTTCTCCTAACACAAATTCCAACAAAGCTTTTTGTCACCAATTCTTATAATTCTCACAATTTTACTAGATATTCAATTACTGACTTAATTTCCTAAAACAAGATTAGGTGAACTATCCTTCTAAACAAAATATCATCAATCCTAATACCTCTATCGAAATATTCCTATGCTCAAGTCAGATATTCTAACCCTATGGCATTGTAAGATACCTTGATTAGTTTCTTCATACCCTTATTCTACAAAGCATCCAAGAGAAAAATATGTCATTCAACACTACCCACGTACACTAGGTGAGAATCCAAATTTGTCTAATCCAAAAAGTTCAACACTAATTATCAACTACTTTGACTCTTTTTTTCCTTGGGTATGAAGTGCCTACGACAAAGAAGATATATATATAGCAATAGAGAAGAAGAAATTTTCATTTGGCGTAGATCAATAAAAGCAAATTTTCCAACATTAAACTTTACAAGAGTATTACAAGAAAAAGTTTGGAATCATTATTTAGAAAACAAGAAGGAACTTGTAACTACTTCAAATGGAGAACCAGAACTGTCATCAATCAATAGTTCTAGCAGGGCATATGTTACTTGAATTAAATAAAATGCAAAAGAGCATGAAGAGGCTTAATACCACAGGACTTGAAAAGAAATCCTGAAAAAACAGTTATTTAAGTGTTTCAGGTAGTACCTGAGACAAACGTAAGAGAACGATTAAGAAGACGTTGGTATTGCTTGCGGCTTTTGCCAGCTTCTGTTTCGGGAATGCTGAGATGGGGTTGTTGTGCAGCACTGACTATCCGACGAAATACATCATTGTGATCTCTTAACTTCATGCTGATGGGTATAGGTGTCTCAATCCCCATATCCTGGCTTACCTGAAGGGGCAATAATAGAAAATTAGGGACAGTAGTTGTAGTAAGCATATCACAAAAAAATATATATACCCCAATTACAGTATGGGATTAGCGAAACAATCAATGAAAAACATTGACTGATGTTCATCAACAGCCGGAGATATAATATATATATATATATATATATATATATATATATATATATATATATATATATATATATATATATATATATATATATATAGATTCATCACGAAATGATAAAACTTAAAACCTGTATAAATATTCAGAAATAACTTTCCAACCAGGAAATGCTAGCTAATGATAATGTTCCATAATGGCTCAAATATGCTAAGCAGTACTACCAGAATAGCCTTGTAATTAAGTACTTTAAATCCTAGTTAATAGATTAAATCGAATAATACAAAGCGGTGTCAATCGATAAAATACATCGAGAAAGTACCCTTGTTGAATCTTGTACAGCCAAGGGATATGGGTCAAGGTCATCCTTAGCAGAAATAATAAGGCATGGAACTTCAAAGCCAGTGTTTTCCCCATGAGAAGCAACTTGCACAAGCAACTCCTTTGTCCTCTTCCATGATTCTTCATCAGAACTACAAAAAAGACAAGGATGTTCACCTCTACTGCTACAAATTATAAACCAAAACAGTAGTCACATGAAGAATTTAGGATAAATACATGAAACCAAGAGTCATTCTAACAACTTCACTGAAAGATGAACAGCTAAAAAATTCGCTGAGGGAGCAGGAACTAATTCAAAATCCAAATGGTCATTCTAGAAGAAGACTAGTAATATATTTGTTTTTATTCATTTTATTTCTACAACTATCAAAACCAAAACAAACATATTCACGATAAATAGAAAACAAACAGTAGCAAAACAAATGTTGATACATTATGTAAAAAATAAAATATAAGTAAATAGGAGTAAAATGAGCATACATTTAGATTTTAGAACAAACTGAATTGTTTAGTATGGTGCATGATGATTAATCTAATAAAAGGGAAATAAAGTCATAATCAAAATGAAACCCTTGAAATCAGTCATGTAGTATGTCAATCAAACAAACAACAAAAGTTTCAAAATATGTAAGGAATCAAGATAACTTAATGGATAGTATCTTATAAACTTCAGTGAAAGACTTAAGTGCTCTTCCTATGGTTTGGACCAAGCATACAAAGGAAAAAAAAATGGGATTTGGGGGGAACTGAATTTGTACAGTAAGGTGCAAGATGATTATTCAAGGATAAAACAAATCCACAGTCGATCGATCCCTTTAAAAATCAGTCATGTACCAATCCAATCGAAAAAGAAAAGAAATAATAACAAAATATGTAAAGAATGGAGGTAATTTATGGATATTATCTTCTTAAATTTTTACAATGCAAGTGTGAAAGACTAAATTGTTCCATGGTATGGATCAACATATGAAAGAAAAAGTTGTATCTTAACCATCAACATGGCTAGAGCCCACAATGCGGAATGCTGAACTTGTTGCAGACCACTTTCATGATTCTAATTTCCTGTTCATAACAATTTTGTGGTCCTAGTAAGAAATTACTAAGGATTAAAAGAATAACGTTACAAGAAGGTAAAATAAATGTTAAAAACTTGCATCTGATTCCAAAAGTAGAAATAGTAGATAGAAGATGATATTTTCTTCCGAAGGATTTCCCCACTTGCTTAGTTACCAATTGATGCAATTTGGAAATCGCAGAATATAATATATGAAGCAAAAGGCAATTGAAAATGTAAGTCAAGTTAGGAAGAAACAAAAAAAATTGAAAGGAATGTTAATAAAATAAAAAAAAGATAACTCATCCAGCCCATGCATTGTCATGCCAATTCGGACTTATCAGCGTGCACCAATAGTAACCTTGCCAAAAAGGTATCAGCATGTGCCATATCAACTTTATGGTATGCTGACATTTTTACCCAAATTACTGCAGCATCCAATCTGATTAAATCACAACTCTATAGAAGTAGAAATCTGAATGACAATACCGAAAGATTATAGATACTATGAACTAACTAGCATGACATTACAAAAGCTGTAAACTCCACTAATCTAATTCCTTTTAATTAAATTCAATCAGGCAACCCAGAGTATATAGGACTATATGAATTGATCTCACACATCCAATCGGTGAGAGATCGGTTCCCTGGAAAAAATCAAGGGTGTTTGTACACCTAAATGGCATATACCTTTTTTTCACAATATGATGAATTGGACGTTTTGCCAGAAGGAAATATCTAGTGTTGCTTCACTCAACTGATCCTTAAGTATGGAGGTAGCACATGTCATTTGTTTCAGCTTGTGGAAATCCTCTGCACCCTCTAAAGGTCAGCTTCATACCAATTGGAACTAATGGAACAAGTGAAAATTCTCATACTGGAAAACAAGATGCATGACTCAATGTTACTTGAACTCATGCATCTACATTCACATCCCTGTCATGTATGTCTAGTGGTTCATGGTTGTGCATCAACATGCACCAGACCATCTCTGAGTTGATTCCATTCTCTTGTTTCCTGTTCAAGGGAGGGAAACCAACACGGGATCATAAGATCTCAATAAGATGACTACAGCTAACTCCAAACCTGAGGCGAACCATAAAAATAAGTTATTGGTTTCACAGATTTGGCCCAGTTCACTGCCAATATTAATATAAGTTATTGTTCTATTCAACAGAAAAATATATTGAAAAGTTTTAATTAAATTCCTTCATTTAATTTTGCAGATACAGAGATAGATTCTTCCCAGTTCCCACAAATAAAATTAAATAGAGCTTAAGTCAAATAAACATAACTAGTTTTTTTAATATTATTATAGTAGCACATATGTTTAACAAATCTACATATCTGAAAGTCCCTTTTTTGTATTGCTATTGTTGAGTTGTCAATTGGATATAAGACTGTTTCCATGAAATACTATACTGCTAGAACCACAAATGATATTTTCTTCAGAGAACATCAGAAAAAAAGTTATGCTAGTGCTGATTCAACCAAGGACTAATTGCGGCCTATATAGATCAATAATGGCTGTTATTTATATATTTTTACCTATAATGCCAGGTCATACAAGTTGGTATCCCACATGGTATATGAGATTTAAATACCCCATTAGAGATTTTGCAAAAGTACGCGCTTCTGAAATTATTAGAGCTAACAGTTTTAAGTCTCACAAACTGGGTTGTTTACCAACTATCCTTCCACACCAACAATAATTCTCAATACCTACCTATGCATCTATGAATAAAACACATTAAACTCTTTAATAGTACTATTTTAGTATGAAACAGTGATTGAAAGAGGCGCTCGGGCGCTCGCCTAGGCGCTCGGGCGAGGCGAGGCCCGAGCGCCTCGCTAATGTCCCAGGTGGCGCGCTTCAAACAGGCGCTCGCCCGAGCCCAGGCGCTGGGCGCTTCGAGCGAGCGCCTGGGTAAACCAAGTGACCGAACCAAGATTTTAGGTCTGGTTCGGTCCTGGTTCGGTTATTAGTTGGTTCAATCGAACCAACTAAACCGATATAACCCTTACCCAACCCTAACCCGCCGCCGCTCCCGATCTCGCTGCTCGTCGCTCCTGCTCCCGCTGCCACTGCTCGTCGCTGTCGCTGCTCGCGCCTCCCACTGCTCACGCCTCCCGCGAGCCCTCCAGCTGCTCGCGCCTGCCGCGAGCCCAGT